ATCCCAGCGGCTCTGTGGCACTCAGGTGACCCCTACAGTCTGCACCGGGGTGTGTCTTTCATTTGCCTTGGTGTAGCATGGGGTCCCCTCTTCCAGTCCTAATGGTCTGAGAGGTACCCCAAGCACAGAACCTCCACGCCATTTAGATAGGGGAGCAGCCAGTCCTCCAGAACTTAACTCCTCAGCCAGCCTGTGCCCAGCTGGGTGCCGAGAGGCCCCTTTACAACATCAGCCTGTATGGGAACAAGGGAAGAGAAGCTGGAACTACTGAATGGAATAAAATCCTGGATTTCTCAGCTCCAGGCCTGACTCTGCTAGGGAGGCACCAACCGGTGTGCTCCCAGCCCCCAACCACTGAGTTCTGTTTAAGGCAGGAGGTCCTGACCTGCTCCCCAGGTCTCTAACACTGGGAGAGGCGGGACCTTGTCTCCTTCAATTTAGGAATATTTAGAGGAGACCCAAAACTAACAGCCTTATCATATGGAAAGCCTGGTCTTCGTACAAGGAGAGGCCTCTCTGCTCCAGGAACTTTACTCCTATTGGGTGTACAGGCCACTGCCCATTGATCGGACACTCTTTGGATAGAGATAAGTCAGGGAGCTAGATGTGAAATCGCCAAGTGTTGCCAGGGACAGAGACAGAGAGGCGCTGTTTAGACTGCCCTTCTGCTGACACGCTGGTCCCCTGGCAGGGGTGCTCCATGGGAATAAGGCGTTGGATGGGCGGAGGCTGCACAGCTTTCTGTTGCTATGGCTACTGTTCACAGGCACTAACTCAACACACAGCCCTGTGGAGTTGGTCCTGTTATCACCCTAATTTTTTTTTTTTTCTTAAGAGAGAGTGATAGAAAGTGTGAGCTGAAGGTGGGGGTGTGGGCAGAGGGAGAGGGAGAAGATCTTAAATAGGCTCCAGGATGGGCTCGACTCAGGGCTCAACCTTGGGACGCTGAGATCATGACCTGACCCAAAATCAAGAGTCAGACGCTTAACCAACTGAGCCACCCAGGCACCCCCACCCTCATTTTCAAGAGGTCGAATCCGTATCCCAAAGTCACACAGCTATTAAATGACAAAACCAGGATTGGCCTCTAGGGTTTCTTCATACCTTAGAGTTCCAGGCTTTCCAGTATAATCACAGTTTTTTTTAAAGGATTTTATTTATTCATGAGAGACTCACAGAAGAGAGGCAGAGACATCGGCAGAGGGAGAAGCAGGCCCCAAGAGGGGAGCCTGATGCGAGACTCGATCCCAGGACCTCGGGATCATGACCTGAGCTGAAGGCAGATGTTCAACCACTGAGCCGCCCAGGTGTCCCAGCGTGATCACAATTCTTAAAGAACATTTCTAGGGGCCACTGAGCAGACACATCCACCACAAACAGGCTGGCAGATGATTAGAAGAAAAGCACCAGGCTTTCTCCAGGGGAAGTCCTGCTGAGCCAACCTAGCAGAGCTCTGGTAGTTGGCAAAAACATGTCACCAAAGGAAACCTATAGGTTTAGCGTACCGAGACTTTTCAAAAGTGTTTGGCAAGGTTCTGTGCCAAAAAGGTTTTCATACCTGGAAGAACATGAACTGCTTCACTGTGGCTTTGCAGGGAATACTTTGTCATTAGGGAAAGGACGATGTTCCAAGGGATGAAGGTGCAGTCCTCTTGATGGAGAATGGGAAGTAGCAGTGCCTCACAGGGATTGGTGCTGGAAGGGTCTTTTTTTTTTTTTTTTAAGATTTTATTTATTTATTCACGAGAGACACACAGAGAGAGAGAGAGAGAGAGAGAGAGAGAGAGGCAGAGACACAGGCAGAGGGAGAAGCAGGCTCCATGCAGGGAGCCTGATGTGGGACTCGATCCTGGGACTCCAGGATCATGCCCTGGACTGAAGGCAGGCACTAAACTGCTGAGCCACCCGGGCTGCCCGGTGCTGGAAGGGTCTTATTAGCTCATATGTTTTTTGTTGTTTTTTTTTTTTTTTTTAGCTCATATGTTTTTAATTTAAGATCTGGAAACAGAAGTGAAAATGCCAAATCTATAATCTAAATCTCATTTCCTGGGAAATGAGAAGCCCAATTAGTGGAATATGTGTTTTTTGCTTTGGTCCTCAAATCCTCGCTAATGATCAGCATCTTGTTGACCTGATTGTCAGAGTAACATACCTGTCGTTTCATCCATTCCACACTTAACCCTCATGTGCTCCCTATATGCCAGGCACCGAGCCGGGCACAGACACACATCACACATAGTTACTCTGCTCTATCAAAGTGGGATTCTGTGGGTCTTCCCTTGGCTTCTTTTACTTACTGAGCTATTGTAAACAGGACAATGCAGAGAACTACCTCATTCTTTTCCATGTCTGCCCGGGGGTAGACTTCCCTGTGAAGTGACCCCGTATACAATCATTTAATCGGTTCCCCTCTTACTGGGTCTTTGCATTATTTCTGGATTATACTTAGATATTTGCCCACCTGGACAAGTGTTTCTTTCTTTAAAAAAAAGATTTTATTTATTTATTCATTCATTATAGACACAGAGAGAGAGAGAGAGAGGCAGAGACACAGGCAGAGGGAGAAGCAGGCCCCACGTAGGGAGCCTGACATGGGACTCGATCCCAGGATTCCAGGATCATGCCCCGGAATGAAGGCAGGTGCTTAAGCCGCTGAACCACCCAGGCTGCCCTGGACAAGTGTTTCTGAGGACAGTCACCTGGAAGGGAAATTACAGGTTCAGAGGAGACACATATTTCAATTTTTTGAAAGATACTGATGAGTTGCCTGCAAAAAAACATCTAGTTCAGTTCTAATTACCCCCAAAGCATCTGGCAATGCCTATTTCCTCAAGTCCCACCTACCAGTATTGGATATTAATTTCCTATTGCTGCTGGAACAACCTACCATAAATTTAGTGGTTTTAAAACAACACAAATTTATCACTTACAGTTCTGGAGGTCAGAAGTCTAACCCAAGTCTCACCAGGATGAAATCTGAAATCAAAGTGTAAGCAGGACTGTGATCCTTCTAGAGGCTCTAGGAGAGACTGTTCCTTAGCCTGTGGCCCCCTTCTATATTCAAAACCAGCAAAGTCTGGGTGCACCTGGGTGGCTTAGTCGGTTGAGACTGCGACTCTTGGTTTCAGCTCCAGTAGTGATCTCAGGGTCCTGAGATCGAGCCCTGCATTAGGGCATCTGGCTCTGGGCCCAGTGGGGCGTCTGCTGGAGATTCTCTCTCTCCCTCTCCCCCTCTCCCCACTCATGTGCCTGTCCACACACACACTTTCTCTCACTCTCTTTCAAATAAATAAATCTTACAAAGACCCAAAAAAAAACCCAGCAAAGTCTGGAGTCTCTCTCACCCTGACACTGACACTCTGTGCCTCCTTCCATTTTCTGAGCCCCTTAGGATTACATTGGGTGCACCTGGGTAATCAGGATTCTCTCCTTATCAGGTCAGCTGACTAGCATCCCTGAATTGCACCTGTGACCTGAATGTCCCCTTACCTGGTCACACGACACGTCCACGGGTTCCAGGGAGTCGGATGTGGACATTTGGGGGCGGGGCAGTCCTCTGCCTACGCAGATGTTATCAACTTTTTTAGTTGCGTCCACACTAAGTGAAAACATGCTGTCCTGCCCTTTTAAGTTGCATTTTGTCAATTATTTCTGAGGTTAAACATCTTTTTCTGTGTGAAGAGGTGGAAGGTTTCTATTATTGTTGTCTGTGTCTTTTGTCTCCTTTTCTATTGGGTTGACTTTAGTTGGGTTTTTTTTGGGGGGGTTGTTTTCAGTTGAATTATAAAGTCTTGAGGGCAAGGAGTTTTTCATACTCACATTTACTTCCCAGTGCCTGAAGATGTGGCCAGATTCAGAGAAGCTCCTCAATGCCTGTCGGCCTTCCCTCTGCCCTTCCCACCCCATTCTCTTGCTTTTCTGCTTTGGAAGGTGTCTGGACCTGGATGCTTCCAGCTGAACTGGCTGAGTTGGGTGTGTCTAGGAGGGCGTCATGGTCTGTGGCCTACTGCACTGTGGACTTCTCAAGCCATGATGGGCTTTGGGGTCAAATGGTGCGCAGCCCTCTGCCCCTATCTAAGCCCTTCTGGCATTTTAGGGTTGCTGCTATGGGAACAGGATAAGCATTGACCCCCTCCTTTTGAGAGGGAGAACCCCTCTTGCTGGGCCACCCACCTTGCCATGGTGAGGCCATGACAAGACCCACCACCGATGACCTGGCATGGTGCAGCCCCAGGGGGTCAATCTACCTCGTGACCTCACCCAGCAGGCAGCAGGTAGAGATTACTTTCCCCTGTTGCTGACCTAGAAATGGAGGCTCTTAGAGGCCAGGGGGCCCGCCCCCCAACATGATATGGCTAGTTTGGAGTACGGGGACTCTTCCAACACCAGCCCTCTCCCATGGCCTCCCTCTCTCCCCCATTTCTCCAGCCTGATGGACTGGCAGCCATGAGAAGGCAGCTGGGTTGCAGCGCCCATGCAGCCGCACCCCTCCTTCCTTTGGAAACCAGCAGCTGCCTTTGCCAGGCAGACCCAGACCCAGGCCTCGGAGGAGGGGGGCCACAGGGAGCCCTCTGCAGCCCCTTCCGGCATGGGCAGCAGCCTGGGCTCCGGCTCCTCCTGTGCAGCCGCCCTGGGGCTGGAACTCATTAGCTCTTTTATTAAATCCATCTGCTCTGCATGGAGACTGGCCCGAGTCTCTGTGCTCCCCGCCCTGGATATGTGGCGGGGGGCTGCACACAGATGCCATTGTGCGAACTGGGGCGGCATCCTGGAGGGCAGACGGGCGAGCACGCTGTGTGGGCGAGGGCTCCGCCTCGCCTGGAGGGTGCGGGTGCTGAGGAGCAGGAGCCAACTGGGCTCTGGAGTGAGGGGAGTCTGGACACCCTCTGAGCATCCAGAGCCTGTGGGGCCTGGGATAAAACGGGGCCTTGCCCTTCCGGGGCGCTGTGGGTGTGCTGCTCTGCCTTCTGCTGCTGAAGCTGCTCCCTCCCTCCCCCCAGGAGTGCATCATTGACGAGGACTGCGGGCCCACCAGGTATTGCCAGTTTGCCAGCTTCGAGTACACCTGCCAGTCTTGCCGGGACCAGCAGACAGTGAGTGTGCCCAGAGGCTTCTGCGGCTGCAGCACCAGGACCATGGGGGCTGGGATGGGTCTCAGAGAAGAGCATGTGGGGGAGAAGGCCAGGAGCCTCATGGTTCTCAGTTGGGCTTCTGGAAGCCTTTAGTGGGGCTCAGAACCACGTCCATGCTTGAGCGAGCCTCTCCATGGTGCCCAGTGGGACTGACTCCTGGGAAGCCATCTGCTGCATGGTCCCTGGCTCCACTGCCTGCCTCCTGGATGGCAGAGGGAGGGCAGGAAAACACAGCAGGAGGCCCTCCACCTGTCCCTTCCCCTGGGGCAGACCCATCCCCCTGGATACAGCCAGTGACCCTACTGCAGCCCCCACTCCCATCCTCCAGATCCCATTCTGTTCAGAGAAGGCAGGAGGAGAGCCAGGAAGAAGCCAGAATACTTCCCCGATAGACGTTTCACCGAGAAGCTGGGAGCCAGGGAAGCGGAAACTCCCTCCACCCGACAGATGTTTTGGACAAAGCCATATGGGCTCATGGACTTTTCCTGTCTTTTCATTATTGAGACAGTAACACAGCAGGATAACAAGTTTGGAAAACAGAGGGCTTCTTACTCCCCCATCCAGTGCCTTCTGTGGTTAGGCAGCTGCACTTCTCCCTGCCGCCTGCCACGTCGGAGCGCGACTGTGGGGTCGCAGTGGTCAGTCCCAGGCCCCAGGGGGAAGCCCCATGCGCCCTCCCCATCCACAAGGCCTCCGGGCTCTCAGAATCTGGCTGCTGCCTGCATCTGTGGGCCCCTGACCTAGGGACCTAATAGAAAGGAGGCAAGTCTGGGAGGTGACTGCAAAGACACAGTGTCCTTTGCAAAAACTGACGTTGCATAGGAGATTCAAACATGTGACCCCCCCCCGTGCTATTTTTGTTTAGACTCTTTTTAAGGTTTTACTTATTTATTTGAGACAGAGCACACGAGCGGATGGGGACCTGAGCCAAAGGCAGACACTTAACCCACCGAGCCACCCAGCCCCCCCCCCCGCCCCAGGTGCTATTTTTCCAGTGTTCTCACCCCTCCCGTCTCTGCCCCCTTGACTTGCACTAAAAGCCCCGCACACTCAGACCTCGGTTGGCCCCCCCTTCCCTCTCCAGAGTAACGGGGCCCCTCCTGGTGTGCTCAGGCTCTCGGGGCTAGGAGCGTGCCGGCTGGGTTCTCTCAGGTCCGAGAGCCGGGGTGCCATTGTCTGCCCTCCCTCCCCACCCCCTGCAGCTCTGCACCCGGGACGGTGAGTGCTGTGGGGACCAGCTGTGCGTCTGGGGTCGCTGCGCCAAAACAGCCACCAGAGGTGGCAACGGGACCATCTGTGACAACCAGAGGGACTGCCAGCCTGGGCTGTGCTGTGCCTTCCAGAGAGGTGGGTGGGCTCTCGGCTGAGTACTGGGCACGCCCGGTCCAGGCCCAACACACCTTTCCAGGGGCGCGCCTCCTGGGCAGGCTCCCGACGGCTCGCTGTGCGTGTGCCAGCCCCACCACCTCTGCCCGAGGCAGCCTCGGCCTCCACTGGGCCACACGTCTCTCTCTCTGCCCCCGGCTGCCATCTAGAAGAGTTCAATCCCTTCAGGATGCACGAGCCCAGGGTGGGAGGACACCCCCAGACGGGGGGATTTGAGCAGCCCCTCTCCACCCCGTCCCCTGTTTCCTGAGGCTGGATGGCCCCCTTCTACTCCGCTTCCACTCTCACCGCCCCTCCCAGGGAGGCTGCTCAGCCACGTGCCCTCCTGAGCTCTCAGTGTGGCTCCTTGGGCTGCAGGGCTGCGGCTGCCCTGTTGTCTCCTTAGTGAGGCTCCTCCTCTGCCTCTCAAGGCTTCGGCCAGCTGCAGCTTCCCCGGCGCCTCGAGTGCTTCACACATTTCTCTAGAACTTTGGCCTCAAAAGCCAGCACAAGCCTGCGCCTCCAGGCAGTCCTCCCTAATTGCTCCAGCCCTCCGGACTCATTCCCTCCTGAGTCCATCCCACCATAGTTTCCTTTCATCCCACCTCTTCCATTTTAATGAATCTCCACTTTGTGGTTGAGGGTGGAAGGTGGGGGCTGCCCCCGCATTTGTCGGCTCCCTTCTGTGGAGCCTCCGTGCTCGATGCTGAGCACTCAGGGGTGACTGTCCACTGGCCCCAGGTCTGTTGTTTCCTGTGTGCACACCCCTACCTGTGGAGGGTGAGCTGTGCCATGACCCCGCCAGCCGGCTTCTGGACCTCATCACCTGGGAGTTAGAGCCTGATGGAGCTTTGGACCGATGCCCGTGTGCCAGTGGCCTTCTCTGCCAGCCCCACAGGTGAGGCCCCACCTGCCCTCCCTATCAGAGGTCGAAAGCAGGTGACCTGCCACCCAGTGGGATCTCAGAGGCAGAGGGGGTGATGCAGTTAGTTTAAGGTAGGGTTAATTTGAGGTGTCCTTGGGTCATTCAGGTGGAGGGTCTCCTAGCTGTCAGATGTCAGCCTGGGGCTCGGGAAGGTGCGGCTAGGGGTACAGATTTGGAGCTCACCTGCGTGGTGGTTGAAGCCTTAGGAGTAGGTGACCCAGGGAGAGGGCGTGTAGACGGAAGAGCTGAGGGCTGAGGCAGGAGCCCAGGCCCCTGACAGCGAAGGACAAGGTGAGGCAGAGTGGCACAGTCAGAGGTAGAAGGGAAACCAGGAGACAGTGGGCCACCCAGTTGGAGGGCACCGCTAGTAGTGTCCGAAACTGAGACCGTGAGGCATCTGAGTATGGCCTCCTGGCAGTCAACTCACCTGTCCCTCCAGCAGAATCCAGGGGGGCTGGGCAGACACACAGAACTCCCTGGCCCTGCCCCGGGCTGGCCCCAGGCTCCACCTTGCCGTCAGGGGCTGCTCTTACCTGGACCCCCAGAGGGGCAGGCGGCTTGGAGGGGCCACGCGTTGCCATACACCGTCAGGCCCTGCAGGCCTTGCCCCAGAGAGACTCTCAGGCAGACAGACCTCTCCATGGAGGTGGGGGAGCCTCCCCTCAAAAAGTGACCCTCCCTCAGCAATCTTCTGGAAGATCCTGACAGGAAGGGGAGACTCCATTGAGGTGTTAGAGGAGGTGTGAGGGTGAGCTCCAAGGGAGGAGCTGCCCCCATGTTGAGAGCCCAGCGTCACCCCTCCCCCACCGCCCTCTCTCCCCAGCCACAGCCTGGTCTACGTGTGCAAGCCGGCCTTCACGGGGAGCCGTGGTGAAGACGGAGAGAGCCCGGTGCCCAGAGAGGCCCCCAGCGAGTACGAAGATGGCAGCTTCATTGAAGAGGTGCGCCAGGAGCTGGAGAATCTGGAGAGGAGCCTGTCTGTGGAGATGGCCCTCGGGGAGCCCGATGCTGCCTCTGAGCTGCTGGAAGGAGAGATTTAGACCGAGGCCTGTTGTGCGGGTAGACGTGCGATAGAAATAGCTAATTTATTTCCCCAGCCGTGTCCTCTAGGTGTGGGCTTACCGGGCTTTTCTCCATGGCCTCTTCCCAGTACGTTTTCCCTCTGGCTTTAAGTAAAATGAGGTGCTGTGCATTTGCCCAGCTCCCCCAGGTTGTACACCCTACATGTCACAGTTCGGGTGCCTGGGGAAGACAGGGCTGTGTGGGAGGGTGGGGGTGGAGGGCGGCTAAACTGGTCTCGATTATTGGCCACTTTGCCTCCGATGGTTGGCATGTGGCACACTTCATTTTGTTCTACATCACCTTGGGAATTGTTGGAGGGGTGGGGATGGGATGGAAAAGGATGCAGGTTTCCCCATGACGGGTTTCGGGGAAATGTTGACTCTTTCACATACAGAGAAGTGTGTCCTGCTTTGCAAACATAAACCTGGTGAAAATGTAACAAATGAATTTTCCATGTACTTCTTCCCATGGGCACAGGCAAGCTGTGCCTTCAGCTGCTGCGGGTGACGTGTTCTGCTCACTGTGCATCACGTGCATTCCTGTCCTGTCCTTAGTGTTACTCGGCTCCTACCTCTGTGCCAGGGCAGCAGCTTCTATCACTCACCACAGTCTGGCGAGGAGGGTGGTGGTCTCCCCATCTGTCAGGATCTTGGAGTCTCAGAGACATCAAGTTGCTTGCCCAAGTCACACAGTGAAGACCAGAGCAGGATTTCATCCAGGTGTGATTCCAAGTGCATGCTTTCCCTACCACTCCCTGCCAGCCTCATTGCCACCAGAAGTACCCTCTAAAAGAGGATAGATGGGAGGGTTTTTTTTTTTTTTGAGCATATCTGGAATTAAGGTCAAACTAGTTCACTGTAAGATTAAACTTGTACTGTTAGAAATAGCATTATCCGTAATGTGGGGGTGGCCATCATTCTAGTGGAGACAAATGACATTGACCCTGTCCCCCTATGGCAGTTAGTTATGTTAGTGACTTTGAAGGTACATGACTGGTGCATAGTATATATGTTAACTTGCCAGAAATAGTACTTAAGTAATTGTAGGGCCAGGATTATAAGTGAAATTTGCAAAATCACTTACCAGCAACTGAAGACCATTACCAACCACATGGAGAAAATCAAACCAAGCAAGGCTCTATGAAATATGGTTGTAATATCCAAACTGAGAGCACTGGACTGGATGCTATTCCATAAATGCTATTTTCAGGTGCCATGGACTGTTTCCATCATGTATTCATCCAGAGTTATTAAATTTTAAAATTGGACATGATTGTATAAGCATGCTTTCTTTGAGTTTTAAATTATGTATAAACACCTATGTTGCATTTTAAAAAATCAAGCATAAATCACTGAAACTACTCCTTTGTAGTTCCCGGGTGTCTTTTTTCCTTTTGACTTTGAATAAATACCCTTTTAGCCAGAAAAAATAACATGGAAATGAACTGCATTGTCAAAAACAAAAACAAAATCCCCCCAAAAAACTTCCACCTAAGTGAATTTTCCAGACAAGTGAAGCATACCTGTTTTAGCATCAAAGTATTTTATTTTATTTTATTATTTTTTTTTCTATTTAAAGGATTTTATTTATTTATTCATGAGAGACACAGAGAAAGGCAGAGGCAGGGACATAGGCAGAAGGGAGAAGCAGGCTCCCCACAGGGAGCCCGATGTGGGACCCAATCCCGGGTCTCCAGGATCACACCCTGGGCTGAAGGCGGCGTCAAACTGCTGAGCCACCCAGGCTGCCCCAGCATCAAAGTATTTTAGAAATGCTAACCATTTTTGTCAGGGATTAGTCTTAAGAGTGTGAATACTTCAATTTTTTTTTTTTACTTTTTTTTTAATGTCCTTTGCTTATTTTTTTTAAGATTTTATTTATTCATGAGACACACACACACAGGCAGAGACACAGGCAGAGGGAGAAGCAGGCTCCATGCAGGGAGCCCGATGTGGGACTCGATCCCGGGTCTCCAGGATCACGCCCACGAAGGTGGTGCTAAACCGCTGAGCCACCCGACCTGCCCTACTTCACTGTCTTCTGGAGTAAATGGAATGGATAGGATTTTTATTTTTATGATTATTATGTTTAAATTTTATTTATTCATGAGACACACACACAGAGAGGCAGAGACATAGGCAGAGGGAGAGCAGGCTCCACGCAGGGAGCCCGACGTGGGACTCGATCCCAGGTCTCCAGGATTACGCCCTAGGTGGAAGGCAGGCGCTAAACCGCTGAGCCACCCGGGCATCCCAGGATTCTTTTTAAAAGATTTTATTTATTTGAGAAAGAGTGTGTACACATGACTGGGGGGTGGGGCAGAGGGAGAGAGAGAGAGAAGCAGACTCCCCACTAAGCAGGGAGCCGGATACGGGGCTCAATGCCAGGACCCTGGAATCATGACCTGAGCCAAAGGCAGATGCTTAACCAACTGAGCCACCCAGGTGACCCTGACTCTTCTTTTTACTCAAATGTAGTTCTGGACTATAACACATCTTCAGGAGCCATGATAAAACTACTATATATTAAGGTCAGCTGGTGGCAGGTGCCAGCTTAGGCAGTCTACCTATATAACCTTCACTGAATCCAGGACTAGTTTCTTCATTTAGCAGATGAAAAAAAATGCAAGTTCAAAAATTAGGTGATAGAGCTAAAAGTCCAACAAAAACAGTATCTAACATAGTCTGCCCAGGATATGCTGACGATTTTAAGACCAAATATAGAGCTGTTCTCTTATTCATTGTCAGAAGGGATCACAACCACTCTACATCCTTATTACTCAACAGGTATTTATTGAGAGCCTGCTCAGAACCAGGTGCTGCGATAGGCTCTGGGGGTGTGAAGGTCATACCCTGAACATATCACAGCCTCATGAGGGATACACATTAAACCTAGCACCCACAAAACAAAAGCAATCAACCCGATATCATAACCGTGTTATGGGAGCCTCAAAGGAGCACTTGGTTTGGGAGAGCTGGCATGGGCATGGGTGCTCAAAGATCAAGGGAGTTTATCAGGTGGTCAGAAGGAATAGCAAAGGACATTCTGAGCCAGGGGCAGAGGGAGGGAGGCAAGAAAAAGGGATGGTATACAGAGGAAACAAAGTAATTCACAGTGGCTGGGAGGCAAGATAGATTTCAACAAGTGTTTGAAGAAGAGGTTTAAAATCGTTTCATCATGCAACAAAAATCTTACTGAGTTCCTACTGTATGTCAGGCCCTACTACCTACATTAGCTGCCAGGAGACGGTGGTACATGAGATAAAACGAGGTCCCTCCCTCATGGAATTTATGTGCAGGTATATCTTGCTCCACTTTGTCATCAGAGTCCACTTCCAGTGGGAAACTGCAATCGACATAGCACAGTTGACAGAGTTTCTGGAAAAACAGAACCACTTCTGTATCTCAACAGACTTGGTTGAGATACTCCTTAACCAGGAGTATGGTACTCCTTAATTAAATGGGTTACTTAAGCATTGTAAGAGGGTGAACATTGTGCTCTCTGTACTGGGGAAAGAGGCAGGTTGGGAGCAAAGGAAGCAGATGGGGAGCATGGTCCCCACTTCTCATGCAAGGCTGTAAGGGTCCACTGAGAATTCTTGGCCTGGTGAATTCTCAGGCTATGACCAGTCAGAAGACCTGCTTCTCTCCAGTACAGAGTAGCTGGTAAGTGAGGAAGTCGGTGCTGTCACCGGGAGGGGGGAGAGCCCTCCTCCCCAACGCGTTTTTGCCCTTCCAGCTTGGCCACTGCGATTGCTGCGGTTTTTCTAAAGGGTCACACATGCTTTCACACACTTAATTTTGTGTGTGTGATTGTTGATTGATTGTATTCTTGATTGTTTCTAAAAGCCAAGTTTTGAAAACACTATCTAACCAAGTGGTTGTATAGCACCCTTCTTCCCAAGAATGAGACTAAAGGAACATCTGGTTTCCTGTACACCCAGTCTTGATGGCCACAAAACTTTATTTGGGCCACGAACTCCTTTGCAAACCTGATAAAAAATATTTGACTAGCAACCCTAGAAAACTACATTATGCACAGTATTGCTTTTTTAAAAGACCTGAATTGCCTTATAAGGCTTCTACTAGTGACCACATAATGATTTTTCAGAAATTAAACAATTTAGTTTTATTTAGCAAATAAAAAAAATTCCTACTTCAGATTATTCTCTATTCCATATACCTTAGACTACAATTTGTAAGTTACAAGTGCAAAAAAGAGTTGGTTAGGGTCTTGATGCTAAACAAAGGGACACAACTCGGAGAACTAAAGTAGCCAATCGGAAAGGAAATACTAGCAAATGAACCAGAATAAACGATTTTATTGTATTCCATACATTCACAGGTCACTTCCAGAGTTAGCAACAACACTGATTAGCAATGCTCTGATTCTGTGCACTCGTTTAGTTTAGACCGCGTTGCAAGTTTTAGTTCTCTCCTGGCCTAGAGATGCCACACCCTTTCTAACAGTGCAGTCTGGCAATGATTTTCTAGCTGTGGCAGAGATTCCACAGCCCCCCTCCTCCCGCCCTCATCTCAGAATCTTATGTAAGTACTTTCCATCCATTAGCAAAGAGACCACCGAATACTCTAGTGTAGGGCTTCTTCACTATTTTAGTCTCCTTATGACTATTAGCCTTTACTTACACTCCTCAGTTTGGCAGGTGGACTTCCAGCTAGCAAGCTTTTGCACAGACCAGCTAGACACAGGATGGTCCTGAAACCACAGCGTTTGCTTCTTTGACCAGGATACACCCCTCACCTTCAGGACCTGCCTCAGATATGTCGGTACTTGGTCCTCACCTGGCATGCCTGGTTGACGCAAACCCATCTCTCCCACGGTAGAAGCTCTTCCAAACTTTGGCGTGACCTGTGAGAAACAGGGTCACAATTTATTGCATGTGGCTTGTGTCACCTGAACCACACAGTCAGCGCTCTGCCTCTTGGCTGAGGGGTACTCGCGAGATTCTCTGAATCTGAGGGGGGGGCAGGTAGACACACATTAACCTCCCTCACATAAATTACCATTCCCATCACCACAATCTTTAAAAAGTTTGCCACCCCCTTTACTGAAATTGTTGAAGTGCAACATTGTGTTCTCACTCTAACAGGCACTGAAAAGCAGGAAGCTTTTTCTTTTTGATAATGAAATATATTTTCTTTACTCTTGATATTTGTAGTATGCCTGCAATTAGAAACAGCAAACACAAAAACAAAAAGCAGGGCAGAAGGCACAGAATGAGGAGCAGGTGTGAGAAGAATTTTACCATTTACTCTTAAAGGAACACTGGCCCCAAACCAAACCCAGAGCCCATTTTGTTTACAATCAGCCTCTTCTGCTCACAAAGAGTGGGTCCTCCAAAGCAGAAACTATTAACCCCTACATTCCAAGTAAGTAGGCCCGTATCAGAACCAAAGAGCTGTCATGTTACATCAGAAAATCCAAGTGATCCAAAAGACAATGCACCACAAATGCTTCCAACTTCTTCCTCTGAGAACACCAACTCAGTGCCACTAATGCAAACTTGGAACATACTTCAATGAAATTTAGCAGAATGCTACACAGTTTACATGGAATAAAAATTAGCCAGAAAAATACCATAGAAAAGTTTTTTTTCCCCCTGTGGATTTCAAGAAACTTTAAAGATATTATGGAATTCTCAATTATTATATTCAAACTACAGAGCCAACATCTGCTAATACTATTTTCTATCTTTCTTAAAAGGAAATAAGGCAGAAACCTGATTTTAAAATATTGACAGGATCCTCCAAAGTTAAATATTAACATCTTTTCATCTCTCTTATGAGAACTTTACTGTAGATGTATCTTACAGAAATAAGATAATTATTGAGTACATGTTACAAAATGTTAAAGAAAACAAATCTATTCTTAATCCAGATTCTTCATCCACAAAAGTTTAATGACTAAAATAACACAACAGAATGAACAAATGTTTTATTGGCATGTTCATTGTTGTAAACAGCATCTGTCATGAAAAAGTTTTACCAAAACCTTTTTATTGATTTTTATAAATTAGATGGCATTTTCAAAAATTTATGTAGAATCGTGTTCATTGAAGTCATATTTAGCAAAGCAAAAACTTGCCACTTCTAATAGACTTTGCAATGAAATCATGTTGACTGCATCAGCCTGTGCCATGACCTGACTTACTAGCAAGTTTTTCAACACGATGTTAAGACGCTTCCGCAGAGTTAAACTACATGTAACTACAAATCAACTCCAAAAATTAAAGTGAGACTTACAAGGGTTCTAGAAGATTCAAACTTGAAGTAAATCTTCAAAGATAAATGTACAAAGAAAAAAACTGAAGCACTGAACAGAAAAACCTCATTAACAAGGG